CGTTAGGTGTGTAACACAAATGAGGTATAGGAACAAGAGAGTAGGGATTAAATGATGGTATTAATTAATAATAGGTGGTGTTCTGGCTAAACATACTGGACATACTCATGTATAAGTCGAGTTTTCCAGCACATTTTTAAATGCAGTTTTGTGGTAAAATTAGGTGCCTTGGCTGATATTCAGGTTGGCTTATACTCGACTATATACGATAGCATTTTGTTAATAAGTTGAAAAGGGGGGAGATTTTAAGAGGTGTGCTAACATTTGATAGTTTATGTGAAAGTGTATTTCACTGAGAGAGGGAAATAGAGTCTTGATATAGTGGTAGGTGGAAAGAATATCTGGTAATCTACCAGGGTCACTTATTGACCCACAGTATTCCATAGGGAGAGTTCAGTAGGCCCATGTATTGTATATATAGACAAAAACTTGGGTTTGACCTCAATCAGCTTCCAGACTAAGGGAGCTGGTAGGTCTGTATAGGAACTGAACTCTTTCAAGGGGAAGGAAGGTGGACCAGGTGCTAAGAGTTAAAGTATAGAGAGTCCTCATCTGTCACAAGATCTAGTGTTCATTCAGGGTTCTCAGGAGTCTGAGGGAGGAGGGAGGGGTCGCTAAGTGAGAGGGAGTTTCTAATTAAGGGGAAGTCAGGAGGGGTGAGAGTCCCTCTTAGTGACCACCCAGCTTGGGTAAAGGGAGCCACAGAGACTCACTCCTATGCGTCCTCATTCTCAAGGGAAAGAACTCAACTCTTTCACGAAGGGAGAAGGAAAACAGTGATAGAGCAGAGGCTGGAGACTGCATGCCATGCCAAAAGATCTGGCTTCCACACACGGTTCTCAGAGAGTGGGGGTGGGAGGTGCAATTGGGGATGCCAGGTGAGAGGGGGGGTCCTACTTGGGGGGGTTGGGGGCAGTGGGGAGGAGAGTCCCTCATACCTCCCTCATGCCTGCAGATAGATGAGCGTGGGAAGGAGTCTGCAGAGACTCACTTCTGTGGCAAGCTCTGGGTTCTCAAGGGGTGAAAAAGGTGTGCTTTGCTTGTTTTAAGAAAAAAAGAAAAAAAAAACAGTCCTGGAGCACCAAGAATTCAGGTCTTACATCTGATTTCCCAGAGTGTGGGGCCCTACCTACTGAATTTTGGCTGGGGCAGTGAGAGTTTTATATAGGAGTTGATATCTAGCCACCATCTTCCTGGAGCCAAACTAACAAGTTAATTTCTTTAAACCAAAACTCTACACACACAAATGCACAGTCATGTACACCTATATACACATTTCAAATTTGCTGTTTCTCTGGCGAAACCTAATACAAAAATCAAAGTAACTGACATGACTGTGTCAGCATTTATTAGCTGAAATCTAATAAACAGTATAACATATAAGTATTTACTACCATATATACTCATGTATAAGCCGAGTTTTTCAGCACATTTTTAATGCAGTTTTATGGTAAAATTAGGTGCCTCGGCTGGTATTCCGGTCGGCTGATACTCGAGTATATACGGACTTAAGTTCTCACACAAGGTTTGTTAAGCAAGTCAGAGTATTCAGGCTCAACACTTAAAAACGAAGGTGATGAAGAGAGCAATCTTTCTTGTGAAGAATGGGTATTCCAATTAGTGATGATCAATGGAGATGTATTACTGACTAAAAACGATGAACTAGTATCACTCCTCCCACTTTTAAATTAAGATATCAAATTCATACATCTTTTTGAAAAGTAAAATTTTATTTGTACTACCACAATAAATTTCTCTAGGTAATTATTTAAATCCAGAGACTTAATTCAATTTTTGCTAAGTAGTCTAAAACGATCTCCTCTCTCATGTAAGTTTCCTCTACACCACTTCAGTCCAGATATCCTTATCCAAGCTCTCTAGATCTTCATCACCTTATAAAGATGAAGCACATCTTATCAAAGCTTCAATGACTTCTTACCCTTGCCTAACAACAAAAAAATCAAAAGTCAATTTCAGAAATAATCTACGCACAAAAGGTCAAGATTGTTTTAATACTAACCTTCCCAAAAAACCCCAAAACCTTAGCATTTATATGAGCACGCTCACACAATTAAAATCCTTTTCCCCCCACAATTAGTATTCTAACACATGAAACTTTAAGTCTTCATATTCAGTAAATTATGTACCAATTAACTATAAAAAATTAATTCATTTTTAATACATGTTTTATACTCATGGAAAAGAGTAACATAGGCAATATTAATAGATATAAATGATTATTTACTAGTTAAAATTTTAAACATTTGGCAAAAACTGCAGCTTTAGCTCCTCCCTCATGGGAAAAAAAGATCTACTTTGCATTTCAATTCATAAGCGTTAGCTACAAATGCTGCTAATCCTTTTCTTATTAGTTGGCTCATTTCCCAAACCAAACCTATAGGATGTTCACTCACCAATTCTTCTAACTCTGTCTTCACCAAAAAAGGTAGTTCTAAAATATGGACTAATTGAGTATTCTTTCCTCTCATCAATCATCAACATCTTTAAGTTTTCCTATTCTCAATGATAAATGTATCTCATCTCTCCTTGCTGATCTTTGCATATTTCTAAAAGAATAACATAACAACAATCAGATTCCCAAATTATTCCATCATCCATTCCTACAAAAGGAGAGGAGGGAAAGAAGAGAAACAAGATGAAGAAGAGAGGGGAAAGGAAGGAGGGAAGATTAAAAGGAAAGGGGGAAGGGGAAGAAGACACTTCCGATCAAACTTGTCCTCTGAAGCTCCCTTTGTCCTACCTACTTCAGCAAATACGAAAATGTTTTGTGTACCCTGCCTTCCACCTCTTTTATCCCTTATCCCTGTTTTGCTTTTTAGCTTCCCAGACAGTAAACTTTCTCTCTACTACCCAGATAACCACTTCCAGCATTCCTCCCTTTGTTGCCTGATCTGTTGTGTCAGATTGTTACAGACAACATCCCAACTCCACCTAATAAACACGTATGCCCGTTCTTGCTTAGTTCTGTATTAGAGTGGATAGGATCAACACCTTAAGCATGGCCTGTTCAAATCATCTAGTCATCTCCCCTAGGTTACTCCATTACCAGGGACTCGAGAGTAGGCTATAAGCAACAAATCTGACCCCATTATTCTCCGCTTAATAAAGATTTATGGGCAGACTCATTTGCTAAAATGAATTTCAGTCTTATACCTGGTTGAGAATTCCAAGTGGCACAGCAAGCTGCAGCGTATTACTCTAATCTCTTGGCACCATCAGACCTCCTTCCACTGGTTCTCTGAGTTTTCCTGACGTTATTCCTGCCTTAGAGGGTACTGAATCAGTATACTCCCCAGCAGGATGCCATTTAAGATTATCTCCTGTATTGTCTATACACATCTCAGCCTTTCTCAACCGTAACTCTAATAGCAGCACTATGTTGATTCTTACATCGAAAGACTATTCTTTGTTTGCTTATTTATTCCCAAAATATACTTGTCTTATGCAGGAAACTCAAGAAATAACTTAGTTGAGTATAAATTTCTTTGAAGTGTTAGATAACACTCAGATACACACACACACACACACACACACACACACACACACACACACACACACACGTGCCTAAGGGGGCTTCAAAAAAGTGTGTAGAAAAATGTCCTATCTTATCATTTTGTCTTCCTGCTAACTTTAAAAAGCATACTCGTATTTAAGAATACACTCAACCTTTGAAAAGAATTCTAATACTCACTGCTTCAAAAGTTGTTAGATATGGGGGGGGGAGGGGGGGGAGAATGAACTAGAGTGGGAAATGGGTATGTCCTTTTTTTTAGCTACAACCACATAAACTCGGTAATCATAGTACTACTACTATGTATCTTTATGTAAGAGTAGTAGCACATGCTTAATTTCAAAATAATAAAGTACCACAATTTTGCCACAGTATATAAAAATTAGAACACTTTAACAATGTTCCATTCATACAAAAAACATTAAGTTCAGAAGAGGGACTTAATTTTTAGTTTCAAAACTGCCAAAGTTTAAAAAAAAAAAACCTCCCAAAGTAAGAAACACCCATAGACTTGGTCTCTAATTAAAAATAAATTATTCATCTAATAATACTGTATGACAAAACACATAATTGGTAAATTCTTTATATATAACTTATAGCAGACTAAATAGTCTTAAGTTAAAAACAAACAAACAAAAAAAACTCCCACTTAATAATTTACAATTTCCACACCACAAAAAAATACCTCTATTTTAAACTCAGGTTTAATCTTTTTTTTTTTTCTGTATTTCTTACTAAATATAAGCCAACTTTTATAATCCCTACATTAGTATATAAAATTACCTATAACAGAGGAATTTTTCCCAATAAATATTTATTACACTGGTCCATTCGAAGATGGAAAATCTGTTTGACGTTAACTTTTAACAATAATTTCAAACAATACTTTTTACTCTCACCCTCCATCTCCAAAGTTAATTAGTAGGAATTGTGTACTAAAATTAAAATGATTCTTCTGTGATGACAAACTAAATTACACGGCAGTTGTTAACAACTACTGAGCTGTATATAGTGGCACTGAGACAGCACAGAATCATTATGCCAGGGATTTAACAAAACCTTTCCTCAAGAACACTGGGCTTCCAAGAGAGGATGTGCAGCCCCTCCAAAAAAATCAGCGAACACACAATACACACATCCTATCATGCAGATGTGCTAAGGACAGAAAAAATGACACTTATAAAGACAACTTATCAGATCGGCATTGCTTAGAGAATAAGCCTACTATTTTGTCATCCAACAGAATAAGTATCAGTTTTGGAATGCTACTGAGGAAAAAGAAACCTATGAGAGTTACTCCATTTCTGAACACCTTGATTTGGGCCTGGTGTCTAGATGGAAGTCCCAGCTTTTGACATAAGAGCCACACAGGGTTAACCCAATATTGATTCTTCTAATGCTTTAGAAAATGCACAAGAGCGTATGAGATACTGAAGAAAAACAAACAGTGGATTTTTACAGTACATACATTCTGGAGGAAGTCTGTTCTTTCTAAAAGCAAGTCTCTCAGTTTTCTTTCTGTTTTCTGCCAAACTAAACAGGACTCCGTAAACATACTGACGAACAGGCCTATAGAGCAGGGCAGCAGGAGGCAGGTCTTTGTTGGCTTCATCTTCAATAGAAACAGCAATTTTGATTTCACCCTTCGCATGGAAGAAAGCAGAATGATATTGCATATTTTTCATGTTGAATTTACAATAAATTTACTGCACTATATTATACTATCTCTACTTAATAACACTCTAATGCTAATGCAATTAATCATTTGGTAGACCGCAGAAAATTCACCTCAAATTGTAAAGACACAATCTCCATTATTGTTAAAATCTGAAACCTAGAAAAAAGGAAAACCCTGTAGATAATCGGCTTTTGAAACAACCTGGACAAAGTAGTATTAGCAAATAGAACAGAAACAGTTGAGAATTTTCAAGATAGTCACATGTAATAAAATTTATAATTTTCAATAACCTGTACAAAATGCAGAGGCCTGGCAGGTAAGCACTTGGTTGCTATCTGAAAGGTCAACTGATACATTGGGTCACAGGGAATCTTGACTCAACGTCAAAGGGTTTGATATTGGAGGGATTTCAAAACCCAAAGAACTTAAGCATTCTGAAAATAAATGGTAAATTTTCTTTATTCTCTTCTATTAAAAAATCATATTTTAATATCATCTGCTAACGAGAATTCTTTAAAGTTAGTTCTTTTTAAAAGTATTAAACAGGTATTAGGCACCTGCCATAGAATGGCAAGTAATCAGTAAATGCATTTAACTCCATGAAAAGGTATTCAAGCTTCTGGGACAGAAAATGAACAAACCCCTAATCTTTTTTATTTTCCCTCAAGAGCAATGCTGCCCAGGCTGAATAGGCGTGGTTGAAAGAGTGAGGGTATTAAAACACAAACACACACACACACACACACACACACACACACACACACACTGCTAAGAGACAAATGGCTGGCTGTGACCTTGTGAAACAGATTGCTGTATGTATTTTGTGGTCATCTGTCTCAGATACTTTAGGGTATCAAGGTTTATTTCAAGATAATTTGCAATAAATTTTATTCACATACACATATATCATGAAAATACATTTATGATCTTCAATAATTTTTAATTCATTGATGCTACCTTATTTTTAAATATTTGCCTTTCACACAAAATTAATTTCAAAACACACCCTTTCCTTCACATATATATGTAAGCCAAGAAATGATTGATTTGACAGCCTAAGTGCTTAACTTTCATTTATTTAGTAGGTTCACGTGTACTAACATTCTCACCCCAGGAATAGTTACGCTGTTAAAACAATAATGCTTTCAGTTTTCTAGATTACCTCAAAGCTTCATGTCACTGCAAATGACACTGTTATTGTTAGGTGCCATCCAGTCATTCCAGCCCATTCTAACCCTATGCCCAACAGAAGGAAATGCTACCCAGTCCTGTGCCATCCTCACAATCATTCCTATGTTTGAGCACACCAGTTATAGACACTGTATCAATCCATCTCTTTAAGGACTTTCCTCTTGTTGCCCTTCCACTTAAGCAAGCATTGTCTTTCTCCAAGGACTGGTCTGTACTGACATGTACACAGTATGTAAGACATAAGCTTGTCATTCTTGCTTCTAAGCACTAATGCCATGCTTCTTCCAAGACAGCGTGTTTCTTCTTTTGGCAGTCCATGGTACTTTCAACAGTCTTTGCCAGCACAATCATTTCAAAGCTTCCATTCTTTGGTCTTCCTTATTCAATGTCCGGCGTATGTCCAACCTTCCCATGCATCTGAGTCAGTTAAAAATACCACGTCTTTGGTCAGGTACACCTTAGTCTTCAAAGTAACCTCCCTGCGTTTCAACATTCTTAAGAGGTCTTGGACAGCAGATTTACCCAATGCAACATGTCCCTTGATCACTTGTCTGCTGCTTCCATGACCATTGATTATGGATCCAAGCAAGACAAAATCTTTGACTTCTTTCTTTTCTCCATTTATCATATTACCCTATTGGTTCAGTTGTGAAGATTCTGGTTTCCTTTTCATGAGTTGTTATCTATACTGAAGGCTGCAATCCTTGATCTTCATCTGCAAGTCCTACTTCAAATCCTCCTCACTTTCTGCAAGCAAAGTTGTTATCTTTGTAGTGCAGGTTGTTAATAGCCTTCCTCCAATCTTGATGCCATATTCTTCTTCATACACTCCAGTTTCTCTGGTGATTAGTTCAGCATACAGACTTAACAAGTATGTTAAGAGGATGCAACTCTGTCATACACCTTTCCTGATTTGAAACCATGCAGTAGTCCCTTGTTTGCTTCAAACAACTGCCTCTTAATTCATGTACAAGTTCCTAATGAGCACAAGTGTTCTGGAATTCCCATTCTCAGGGCTATGTATAGTTTCTAATGATCCAAGCAGTTGAATGCCTGTGGATAATGCAAAAATGCAAGTAAACACCTTTCTGGTATTCTCTGTTTTGAGCCAAGATCCATCTGAAGTCAACAATGATATTCCTTGCTCTATGTCCTCTTCTGAATCTGGCCTGAAAATGTAGCAGCTCCTTATCAATGTACTGCTGACACAGTCATTGGTCTTCATTAAATGTTTACATGCATGTGTTATCAATGATGCTGCTCCATAACTTGTGCATTCTGTTAGATGGTCTTTCTTTGGATTGAGTACAAATATGGATCTCTTCCAGGCAGTTGGCCAAGTAGCTGTCTTCCAAATTTCCTTGCACAGATAAATGAGTACTTCTAGTGTATTCACTTCATCAGCTTGTTGAAACATATCAATTGTTATAACATCAATGCCTGGAGATTTGTTTCTGGCTAATGCTTGCCATGCAGCTTGAACTTATTCATTCAGTAACATTAGTACTTACATATATCCTACCTCCTAAAATGATGGAATACCATTTCTTTCATTTTGGTATATTAAATCTGTGTATTTTTTCCATCTTCTTTGGGTGGAAAGTATCCAATCTTCTTTGGATTCCTGAATCATTCAATACTTTGTCCACAGAACTTTTAATAATACAACACGTCTTAATTTTATTCTTGAGTTCTTTCAGTTTCAGATATCCTGAAGGTATTCTCCCTTTTGCCACATTTCAGTATAATATTTGACTCTGTCATTTAGAACCACCCTTTGAAATTTTCTATTCAGCTCTCTCACTAGACTAGCATTTCCATTTGGTTCTGCTTTCTTCTAACATCATGCCGACCTTTCTTTTTATTAATGATCTATTGTTTGCTTCATGTTTAATGTTCTTAATGTCCTTCCAAAGCTCATCAGATCTTATTTCTTTAGTGATAAGTGGTAGTAAATCTGTTCTTGATATGTTCCAGAAATTCAGGTAGGATGAACTCAAGGTTTTATTTTTGTCTTTCCTGGACTGGTATTTATTTTCCTGAACTTCAAACTGAACTTATATATGAGGAATAATTGACAGTCTGTTGCGGTCAGCCCCTGGCCTGGTTTCAGATGCTGATATTGAGCGTCTCCATCGTGTCTTCACACAGATGTAGTACATTTGATTTCTTTGTATTCCATCTGGAGAAGTTCATGTGCATAGTTATTTGTGCTGTTGAAAAAAATGATTTGCTTTGAACAAATCATTGGTCTTACAATATCATATGGCTTCCAACTTTGTTTCTATCACCAAGTCCTTATTTTCCATCTACTTTTCCTTCCTCTTTATTTCCAACATTTGTATTCAAATCACCAATAAATATCAATGTATCTTGATTGCATGTTTGATCAATTTTAGACTAGAAACATAAGTAGAATTCTTCAACTTCCCCATCACTAGCTTTTGATTAGGGGGCATAAATTTGAATAATGGTGTATTGATGGGATTTCCTTGAAGCCAATCACAGACAATATAGAGCTTGCAGTGTCCTTTTAGACAATGAGTGCAATGCCATTTCTTTTGATGTCACAACCAACATAGTAAACTATAGTATTTTCTGATTCGAAATGGCCAATAAACAGTCCATTTCAGCTCAGTAACACTTGGATATTGATCTTTATACAAATGTATTATTGTTGCTGTTGTTGTTGTAAGGTGCTATCAAGTTGGCTCTGGATCATAGTGGTTCTAGGAATATCAGGACAAAATACTGCCCAGTCCTGTTCAATGGTAACAATTGTCCCTATGCCTGACTCCACTGATGCAACCACGGTATAAATCCATATCCTTGAAGGCCTTTCTCTTTTTCACTTCCCTTCCACTTAACCAAATACGATGTCCTTCTCTAAGCACTTGCCTCTCCTGACAAAATTTCCCAAAGTCTTGGCATCCTTGCCTCTAAGGAGAACTCTAGCCTCACTTCTTCCAATACAGATTAGTCTTTCACATGCTTATGAGGCCATTGAAAATACCATACCTTGGGTCAGGTGCACCTTAGTGCTCAAACAACACCCTTGCTTTTCAAGATTCTAAAGATATCCTGTACAGATTTACCTAATGCAATGTGTTGTTTGCTCTTTTGACTGTTGCTTCCATGAGTACTGATTGTAGACCCAAGCAAGGCAAAAAACTCCTTGACAACTTTCAACCTTTTCTCCATTGACCATGATGTTACCTATTGGTCCCGTTGTGAGAATCTTGTTCTTCTTTACATTGAGTTGCAATCCATATTAAAGGTAACAATCCTTGATCATCAGCAAGTGCTTCAATTCCTGCTCACTTTCAGCAAGCAAGGTTGTGTCATCTACAAAGTGCAGGTTGTTGATATGCCTTCCTCCAATTCCGATAACACATTCTTTTTCATATAATTCTGCTTCCCCCATTATTTGCTCATCATACAGATTGAACAAGTATGGTGAAAGGATACAACACTGATGCATATCTTTCCTGATTTTAAAACCATGCAGCATTCCCTTATTTTGTTAACATGCCTCTTTATCATGTACATGTTCCAAATGAGTACAATGAAGTGTTCTGAATTCCCATTCTTCTCAAAGTTATCCAGTTTATTAGTCCACAGAGTCAAAAGCCTTTTCAGAGTCAATGAAACACAGGTAAACATCTTTCTGGTATTCTCTGCTTTGAGTCAAAAATCCATCTGGCATCAGCTGTGCTCTCTCTTAGTCCACGTCGTCTTCTGAATCCAGCCTGAAACCCTGACAGCGCTCCCTATAACTGTACAGCTGCTACCATTGTTGGATGATCTTAAGCAAAATTTTACGTGTGTGTGATATCAATGATATTGTTCTGCAGTTTGAGCATTCTCTTGAGTCACCTTTCTTTGGAATGAGCACAAACGTGGATTCTTCCAGGTAATTGGCCAAGTAGCTGTTGTCTCCAAATTTCCTGGAATATATGAGTGAGTGTCGCCAGTGCTTCTTCAGCTTGCTGAAACATTGGTTCCATCAATTCTGGAACCTTGTTTTTGGCTAATGCATTCAGTGCAGTTTGAACTTCTTCCTTCAGCACTATTGGTTCTTGCTTATATGCCACCCCCTGAAACGGTAGAATGTTGACTAGTTCTTTTTGATATAGGATTCTGTGTATCCTTGAAATCACCAAGAGAATCTTTTAAGATTGCAATTTGAGGCCTGATTTTACTAGTAATTTCTGTTTCGGATACGCTGAGCTCTCCCCCCACCCCACCCCTTTGGTTTTCTCTTTTCAGGTTTCATTATCATTTCCTTATAATTTGACTTTGTCTTCTCCAGCTGCCCTTTTAAATTTTTTATTCATCTCTTTGACTTTATACTTCCTTCCATTTGCTTCAACTACCCTACAATAGAGCAAGTTATAAATAAACAAGTAAATCAATAAAACAAGAGCAAGTTTCAGTCTCTTATGACATCCACTTTGAAATTTTCTTTCTCTGCTATCTTTTCAATGACCTTTTGCTTTCTTCATGAATAATGTTCTTGATCTCTTCCCACAGCGCATCAGGTCTTCTGTCATTAGCAATCACTATGTCAAATGTGTTCTTGAGATGTTCTAGAAATTCAGGTGGGATATACCCATATTTTGGTTCATGTGGACTTGCTTTAATTTCCTTCAGGCTTTGCCTCAACTTATATATGAACAAATTGATGGTCTGTTCCACATAGGGCCGTGGTCTGGTTTTAGCTGCTGATATAGAGCTTCTATATCAGTCTTCCCACAGATGTGTATCAGATTTCTGTATACCCCATCTGGGAAAGTCATGTGCACAGTCACCTTTTGTGTTGTTGAAAAAGAATATTCACTATAAATAAGTCATGGATTTTGCAAAAATCTATCATGTGATCTCCAGCTTCATTCTACCACCATGTCTATAGTTTAAAACTATTATTGTTCCTTCTTGTTTCCAACTTTTGCATCCCAATCACCAATCATTATCAATGCATCTTGATTGCATATGTGATCAATTTCAGGCAGAATTCCTTGGCAGATAGAATTCTTCAATTTCTTGATCACCAGGTTTTTGTGGTTAGTGCATAAATTTGAATCACAGTTTACTGATTGGATTTTCTTAAAGGCACTGAGATGTAATGCTATCAAACAGCATTGTACTTCATGATGGATTTAGCAAGATCCTATCTGACAATGAATGCCACGCCATTTCTCGTGTTATTCCTCTATTGTTTTATTCAATACAATAATACAACACATGATTTTCTGATTCAAAATGGCCAATGCCAGTCCATTTCAGCTAATACCTAAGACATCGATCTTTATGCTTTCTACTTCACTGCATGTGTTGTGTGAGTCTGAAGAGGAAGTTATACATTGGTATCAGACATATGGGCTAATATTGGACTTAATAGACTTGATCTGGTCTAGGCTGGGATGTTTTCTTAATATACAACTACTCTTTGATATAAAGTTCTCTCTTACACAAATATGATTGTCTCTGGAATTGTTTCTCTAGTCAACCCGGACTAACACAAGAGGCTAACTCTTTACAGAGTAGGAAGCCCCATCGTTCTCCTGCAGAGTCACTGATGGTTTTGAACTGCAAACCTTGGGTACTGCAGCCCAACATATAACCACTATGCAAAAGGGATTTTCAATATTTGCCTTTGGAGTAAATACTGTAGAGTAATAACAGTACTGTGTTATTACTAACCCACATTGACTTAATTGTCCATATAACCTATACAGCTATTGTGTACACAATTTAAGATTCATCACTCTAACACCAAGCAAATGAATCCACAGAACCTTTTATCTTCAATGGGAAAAGTTGGTAATCTATTTAGATGATATTTTGAAAGCTCTCTTCCCAAAACGTTGGATCTTAAACTTAGCAAAATCCTGTATCTGTCCCTTTATACACTATGTTGAACTTGAAAAACAAAATCTTTACCTTATCTAAAAACTGATAGTGTACATGCAAACAACATGAAAGGTGGAGACAAATGGAATTGAAAAAAAAAAAATGGTAAAAGAATCTGAGCAAGTAACGGTGGCCTACCTAGTCTTCATTTCCTCTAATTATAAAAGTATAAATTAGTTAAAATGTTTAGTCAGTTAACAAGCAAAGAAGTCACCGTTGGAACACTGGAATAGAAGTATCTATTTCATTTGACAAACCACAGATGGAAAGAAAGAAAAAAATGTCTTATATATTTTGTAACAGATTTTGATGAAAACATGTTAATAAACGTATGGTTCCCATAAACCAATTCTGTATGAGATATCTGGTAAGGAAGGTAATTTATTAAAATTGTGGGTCTATTATTTTAAGCACCATCACAAAGATTGCTATATTAAAGACCCAAGATTCAAAAGGAATATAATGTAACAATACATTTAAATGTACATTTGGTAAGAGATTAATAAATATTACGAATTATGTCCGGATAAAGAGCTAATTCTATTTATTGATTACGCAAATGTTACAAAATTCTAAATTCAAATGTGTTGTTAGCAAGTTCTACAAAATGATACTCAATGAAGTAGATGAACAAATAAAAAATTATGAAGTACTTTTAGCCATTCTATAAGGAAAATATCATTTTCTGAGAACAATTGACAGATAAATCATGTTATGTCAAACATCAAAATTCATCTTGGCATTATGGTGTACGAAAATTTTAAAGTATAAGTTAAAATATAATTATGAGTCACAAAATACAATGTGATTATTTAATTAGAGGTTTTAAGAATATTTTATATTAAATTTTTTTTTAAATGAAGTCACACAAGTTTTTTTCATTGCATTTTTAGGTTAACATATCCAGATTTTGCTCAATGTCCCAGAGAGGAAAATAAATTTGGACCAAATAGTTTAGAAGATAGAGAAACATTTCCATAGAGATTTTGGAAGTGGGAGGGGCGGCAGGGTGGGCAACGGTGATACTCACAGGAATCATCCCCTCTAAACTAAGGACTGTAACTACGAATGACCTCTTTGACAATACCTTTGTTAGGATATGAAAGATGTAGGGATACATTAGTCCCTTCTTGTGCCTGTGTTCTGCCACTCTCAATACTTCAGGTGCGACAGGAGGTAATGGAGGTGTGGTAATATCCATGTGGTTCCTGGTGGGCATGGACAGAAGGCAGGGAATTGGTTGTACAGTGCCAATTTGGCTTCCTTTTCCTTCAGCAATCTGGCTGCCTGAAGAGGCAGTGGACGAACCTTCTGCCTAAAGAACAAGAGGTAACAGGAAGGGGGTGAGGGGGTGGGGGGAGAAAAAAAGTTCATTTCAGGTTTCTTTCATCTTAACGTGTATTAGAGATGTTTGTCCAGGCTAGATAGGGGAAAAAATAAAATGTAAGTACTGTCTACAGGTGACAAACTTAAATTCAGGACAGCAAGGTAAATGATATTGGATTGTAATGGTCGACAAACAGGAAACAATAAATTATTAAAACCAACAGAATTTTACCACTGAGAGATCATTAATTTCTCTCTCTCTCACTGACAACACTCCAGAGATGGTGCTGAGGACCTCACACAAAGATCACTGTTTTGTATTCATTGTGCCACATAACACGTAACATAATTCTCTGCAGTAACCTACTAGCCCAGAGCCTGTGTACTCCAGATGTGCTCCTTAAACTGTCCCGGCTATTATTTGTGTTAGCGACACAGGAGGTGTTAGCCCCCACAGGCTGGTCTCATGGCTAGGCTTAAATTGTCTCACAGGAAGAGCTGGAGAAAATTATGCGAAGCGAAGTTAGTAAAGCACAAAAAGACAAGTACAAGATGAGTCCACTGAGGTAAGTATAATCAACACAGTGTGAACAAAAAAAAAAACATTTCATACATAATTTACGCATTGAGGGACAGGCACATAAGCAGGGGACAGACCAACCCCAATGATGGGGAACAACAACAAAAAAGTGGGGGAAAGACAAAGACAATGGGGAGAACAGGGAACTCATTCACCCACAGGGAGGGTACTGCTTATGTCTCCATCGGAAAGGGAGAAAGGGACCAGACTTCAACCTGGTGTGCCAAGCCTTGACGGCAACATACCAGCATGAAGCAGTGAACTAACAGAGAGGTCTGCGGGGCTGGCTTGGCCCTATCCCAGCTACTTTGATACCCCTCTACACCTCCGCACTACACAGAGGACAGCACAGAAGATACAGCCCAGAGAGAGACAGAAAGAGAGAGAGGTGGGGTGAGAGTGTTGACACCATTCTGGCCCACCAAGCTTTGAGAAGGACACTCTCACTCAGAGCAGCCAATGAACACAGAGGGCCATAGAGTCTTCCTCACCACAAGATATGAGGTCCCCTTACTGACCCACAGCGTTACGGAGGCAGCACCAGAGACACAGTGCAGGAACCGTGCCCAATCTGACCGCCCTAAACCAGGGCATAACACAAAGGGAGCGCAACAGAGCAGCAAGGGGAGCAAAGCAATAAAGTCCCAAAGGAACTCTAAAAACAGAATTCTGACTTGGAGGGAGGAGTGGAGCAGAATGAGACCTGACAGAAAACATTCATGAGGTTCAGCAAACACATCTGGAACTATTTATAGGCCATTCTTTTCTTCTTCTTCTTTTTCCTATCTATATACATAAGATAACCAGGAGAAACAATCCCAGGGAAAAAGCAATGGGACTGAGGGTTAGGATGGGGGGTGGGTAGAGAAGGAGGTGGGGGAAAAGGAGGGGGGAGCCAACAAACCCAGCGATAAGGGAACAACAAGAGATCTAAAATTGTTGGCGAGAAGGGCATAGAATGCCTGGTGGGGTTCGATCAAATGCAATGTGGCCAAGAGGGAGTACAGAGATTGGTGAAGGACAAACATGATAGTGAAACAGGAGGAAAGTAAAAGGAAATTGAAGAAAGACCTACAAGGCAAAAGACATTGATAGAGGTATAAACATAGGCATGTACATATGTAAATACATTAATACATTAATACGATAAGGATACAGGTCTATCTTAATAAATGTACATCTATTTTTAGGCCAAGTATTAAGGTAGCAGGCACACGTTGGGTCTCTACTCCAGTCCTCCCTCAGCGCAAGAACACTTTGTTCTAATAACCCAGCATACTCACCTTTCCAACAGGATCACTGAAGACAAAATGAGTGTATAAGCTAATGTAGGTGGTATAAGCTAATGTAGTGAAAAGCTGATGGTGCCAGGCTATTACAAGATATGTGTCTGGGGTCTTTAAAGCTTGAAGTTAAACAAGTGGCCATCTAGCAGGGAAAGAACAAAACCCACATGAAAGAAGCACACCAACCCATGTGATCACAAAGTGTGGATGGTATCAGGCATCAGAAGACCCCAAACAAACAACCATTTTGATGCAAATGAGGGGGTTTGGAATGGAGATCCAAAGTCCACCTGTAGACAACTGGACATCCCCTCACAGAAGAGTCACAAGGAAGAGACGAGCCAGCCAGGGAGCAGTATAGCACTGATAAAACACTGCTCTCGTTCTTTAGTGCTTCCTCCCCCCCACGATCATGACCTTAGGTCTATCTTACAAATCTGGCTAGATCAGAGCACGGACACTGGTACAAGTAAGAACTCTCAACACATAGAATCCAGGACAGATAAACCCCTCAGGACCAATAATGACAGTAGAAATACCATAAGGGTAGGGGGATGGTGGGGGGAGAAGGGGGAGAAACGGGGATGAACAACAGAAATATGGGTGAAGGTGAAGGGAGACAGTAGATGGTGTAAAATATGAAAATAAAAATAATTTATAAATTATCAAGGGTTTACAAGGGAGGGAGGGAGGGGAAAAAAAGAGAAGCTGATACCACGGGCTAAAGGAGAAAGAAAATGTTTTAGAAATGTTGGTGGCAACATATGTGCAAATGTGCTTGATACAACTGGTATATGGAATGTTGTAAGAGCCCACAATAAAATGATTTATTAAAATTTTTTTTAATTAATGGTTACATAACTACAAGAATGTATTAATATCACTAAATCGTACATGTACTAACTTAAATTGGTGTATGTTTTACTGTGTATATTCTCAACAAAAACATGCTAAATAAAATTAAAATAACAACAAAATATACACAAAGTGCCTAAATTATTGAAAGAAGAATAATTCAACAGCTTTCATGATCCTGAGACCAGAACTGAATGGTGCCTTGCTATCACTACTGACCTATCGGAAAGGGATCACAATAATAAGCACAGGTTAAGATGGGAGAAAACTATGAAGCAATGCTTTTAAAAAAAACAAAATCATACACACAAAAAAGATGAAGCTTACTGATCTTATAGAACATGGTGGAACCAGACACTATAGTCCTTAGGCATCCCAACCCCTATAGTTTGAAACCTGAGTGCTTTGAAATCCTTAAAATAATCAACCATAATAGATCAAAAGGGCAGCTATGTTTGAGATAAAACTAACATGACAGAAAAGGATATGAATAAAGACAAACTGAAAGTAGAAACAGAGAGAGGAGGTATGAAGAGCGGGGTTACACGATGGATATTGAATCAATGTTATGAATCAAAATGTATATGAACTATTAGATGTTAAATCAACTGGCTCTGTAAACTTCCACCCAAATGATAGTAAAAGTTTACAATCTTTCTATTGTTTATGTACAACTGTACATGATATCTGCCCAATACTTAAGACTACTTAAAAGCTTTAAAAATAAGTCTTACTATTAGGCCAATCTTGTAGAAATAAGCCAACAAATCTGTGACCTGCCCCATATTATAGACAAGGTTTTATAATTTAGAAACATATTTCTAGAGGTCAGTATTAACAAATATAAGTAGAAAAGGCAGACATAGAATGTAAATCACATTTATTTTTAATATGCACATACCAAATGCTTTCGCATTTGACCTTATAGAACCCTATCAAAAAATTTGTACTAAGGAAAATTTCAATTTCAGAAAACAACTTCAACTTGGGTTTTTTACAAGGCAGACAGCAGCAGCTCGGCTCTGATATACACAGAAGTGGAAGAGATCCTTCTATTCTCATCCATATTGTAAACTTTTATATACAGGTAACATGCTTAAAAGAGACAATTTTCTTTAAATAAAATCACTAGTACTATAGGCTTAAAGAGTCAGAAATTAAGGGGACTTCCAGTAAAGACGGAGACCTAGACAGACATAATACACAATCCCCGTTTAACAACGGCATGAGATAACAGGTACTGAAGAAAAATCTAAGATGGTCCAATCTCTGAAGAAAAAAAAAACTAAGTGAGTTGAACATCAATAGCATGAGAGGATAACATGTAGGGTGAAATGAACCACCCTTGGTGCCCCACAGTTCCCTGGTTCACGGAGGGGTCTTGGGCCCATATCAGCATGCTCAGCAAGGGCTGCAAAATTTCTGAGGCACAGGTGTAGCTGGCAGAGACAACCAAAGCCCTAAAGCCTGGCTGTGGCACCCTATATACAAGGACAAAAATAGACCAAAAATTAATGGATGGGGAAAAAACATATCAAACTAATGGTAATACAAAATATAAAGAAATAGCAATATTAACCTCAAATAGAACATACTTGAAGGAAAAATCAACCATGAGAAAGTGCACTTTATATAATGAATAAGAAGAACTAACTATAATAACTATGCACCCAGTTAAAGACCTTGAAAGATAAAGTAATCAAACTCTTAAGCGATCTGAAAAGAGAAGCAGACTACAGCACAATAACAGTAGGAAACTTCAACTACTCCAAAGGATGGGCAGAACCCAAAAGAAAATCAATAAAGACATAGAAGAATTAAACAACACAATCAACTTGAGCCATCCACCTACAGATTACTAATTTTTAGAGAAAGAATCAAAACACATTAACAATCGATGCTGGTAAAATTGGGTTTCCATTTGCAGAACAATGAATCAGGATGCATACCACACTCAATATACAAAAACAAACTCAGGATGGGTTAAACACCTAAATGAAAACTCTCTCATTCACTGTTATTGAGTCAATTCCGACTCATAACAACCCAACAGAACAGAGTAAATCCACTCTTGTGGGTTTCCAAGATGGTAACTCTTTATCAAAGCAGAAAGCCATAGAGCAGGTGGTGGTTTGGAACCACTGACCTTAGCAGCCCATTGCATAAACCCATTATACCATCAGGGATCCTAAACCCTAGAAATGAAAAAAGAAAAACCAGGGACAAATTTAGGGGGCTTAATACATGGATAAATACACTATAAAACAGAAGAAAAAACATAGGTAAGAGAAAAAGAATCCATGACTAGGACTTCCTAAGAAGAAGAAACATACTTATGTCAAAAGATTTCACTAAAAGAGTATGGGAATGGAAATATCATGACTCAGCAATAATGCTACTTGGTATACCCTATTGAAAACTAACATAACACAGATATAGGGGCCCCCATGTTCATCACAGTATCACTTATAATAGCAAGAACATGGAAACCGTCTAAATGTCCATCAGTAGAAGAAAAGATAAAAAAATTAAGTACATACAGTGGAATACTGTGTGTGGTTCAAGAATAAAAACGAAACTATGAAACACCCCATTACATGGAGGAATTTAGAGGACAATATGTAGAGTAGGGTTCCAAACACAAAAGGGCAAATATTGTATGAGATGACTGTTATAAAAAAAATTAAGAAAATGTTTTCATACCAAAAGCAACAGATTCTGATGGTTACCAGAGGTGGGAGGGGAAGGGCTGGAAGGGGAAGTAGCAGACTAGAGGGTAGGCAGGGGTTAATGTGAGAGGAAGGGAAGATAATATACTACAAGATTGTGGAAGGGGGTTAACAAAGCAAGCCATCAGCTTTGCTAAATTGTTTAAATTGTTAAGTGCAAGCCTATTATGTAATATATAGACCACCACCTAATTTGCAATTAAAGGTTGGAGGGGGAGGGTTGGAATAAAAGGCATAAATTTTTCTACCTTTGTTTGGTCTCCTGGGTCTCCACGTGCTTGAGGTTCTGAGTGGCTTCCTGTCTTCTCCCAGCCAATTTTGTTCCCACTGATATGGCTGAATATAAAATGAAGATGATTAGTATTTTCTTCCCTTTCCAAACAAGTAGAAGTATCTGGAATGGAATTTATAGATTCACAGTAATATATGCTTTACCAATTTCACCTCCTCCCAAAAAATATCTCTAGAAATATTATTGGAATACTTCCTTCCTGCTACAGATGAGTATACAACAGCCTAACGGTAAAGTCAGTAGCAGTTCAAACTCAGTAGCCACTGCATGGAAGAAAGATGAGACTTTCTATTTCTGTTGTTTCTACCGAATTGACTTGATGATAGTTTAGTTTTCTAGAAAAGGAAATATAAAGTACCCAATGTATAAATCAATGCATCTGGGTGTTGAGGTAAACATTGTACTCCTAACCATAAGGTCAGAGGTTCAAGCCCACGATCTACTCCATGAAAGAAAGATGAGGCTGCCTGCTCCCATA